CTTGAGCTGCGGCATCAGTTTGAATTCGTTTCCTTAATTGAATGAAGGTTGCACATGTGCAGTTCTGTGTTTCAGCTGTGCAAGCTGATCCCTGATGGATCAGTGCAGAAGTTTTAGTAATTTTTTCCTTGCAAACAGAATTCTTATTTTAAAAGGAATGAAGATGTTTATAATTGGAAGCCAATTACTAACAGAGGGTTGCTAATTGTTAATACAGGGTTAAATTAATTTACAGATAGACAAATATTTACATTTTAAGTGTTTTTAATTTTGTTATAGAACTACTGGAGTTGTGTTCCTACTTACTCTGCTTAACATTTAAATTTTATTTTAAAATAGAATGTTAGCTGATGCTGAAAAGATCTTGAAACTGCCTAGATGAAAAGGGACAGGAAGTTCAATCCAGTTTTTTGTGTTTGCATCACATCCTGGGAACAAAACAAAACAGCACAAAATCAGTGATTGCCCTCCTCACCTTTGATCTGAGCAGGCAGTCCATAAATTCTGCAGTGAAATAATATACTGCATGTACCAGTGGCTAAACTGCTGTCTTAGCCTGCAGAGTAGTTCCTGCATTTTCGGATGGCACTCTCTGAGCTAATGGCAAAAGAAACTTGCATTGGCATTGATTAAATGAATATAGTTTGAGAATCAAGATAACTAATGCCTGTTCTGGGGAATGTGGATTTAACTTTTCTGGATTGTTGAAATTTTTGTATTTTCTATCGATACCTGTTATACGCTGTGACAGTATGGAAAGCCATAGTGTTCAATCCCAGCTAAGCAGGACATTGATTAAAAAACATAGGCATATTGCAGGCAAAACAGTCTTGACTCAGGGCATTTCACTTAATTTAATTTATTGCCTGTTAACAGAAACCTTTAGTTACCAATTCAGATACTGAGGAGCAAATAAGATATAAACAATTAAAGGAGTGCCTAGGGAAACACCACTCCTCCCCTTCCCTAGGATCAACTTCAGTCCAACACCTCTGCTCACCCGCCAGGCCCCCCAGTCCCTCTGGGCAGGCGAGGGGCAAGAGTTTGGGGTCAGTATGTGAAAATTTCTCTCTGTCACCCTGTGTTTCTCAGTCATTTTTCTCTGCTGCAGCTCCTCTGCCCCAGCATAGGTGCCCCATGGCCATGGTCCCTTGGGGCATCCCTGTCCCAGCGTGGGTCCCTCCAGCGTGGGCTGCTGTCCCCCCAGAGGCATGTGTGCTCCCCCAACACGGAGCGTCTCCTTGTCAGAGCGCGCCTCCAGCTGTGTCCCCAGCAGTGTACCCTTCCGTGTCTCCTCCGTTTCATTTCCCCACAGGAGTCTCTTCACATTTCTCCTCATGTCTCCCCTTTTGTGTCTCCTCCTGTGCCTGCTTCTGCATGTGTCCTCACATGTCCCTGAAGTTGTGGCGCACGATGGACTGTTCCTGTCCGTTTCAGAGCCATCCGGCACTGGGCAGTTCATGGCCTCCTCTCGGACAAGGCATCCCTGCAGCCCTCCACTGCCGAACCTCTGCTGTCTAAGCTCCATAGAAGTAGTGACCACTTTCATCAGAAATAATTCACAGATAACTGATTGTTCTAAGCACGGGTCAGCACAGGACGGTGACCAGCTCTTGGTACGTCTGCTGCTGGAGCTATGCTATGAAGGGTCAGCAAGTGCTGGTCTATCCTAGATACGTCCCTTTTGCTGTCTACCAAGTGAAAAGCTTTAGAATACACCTGAACGGGGCTTTTAGAAATTATTCTTCTGATTAGTAAAAAAAAATACCTTATTTTAGAATATTTTTCTTTACTTTGCTTGTTGATGTTCATTCTCCTTTTTCCACCTGGATTGATCCCATAGGTGATAAAATGCTCGTCAGCATGAATTCTTCTTTCTTTACTGTCCTTTTTAGTTAATTGCCGATTCACTTATGTACGTTCTATGTCTCCGCTTGTTCCCCCATGAGAAGTTAGACAATAACCTCCTACACTGTAGTTCAAGGGCTTTCTGAAAATGCTTGTGGGGTGAATTGAGCAAGATGAGAACTCACCAGTGCTAATTAATTCACGAATGTTGTATTATCAAACCACGCTACTTTGTTTTAGGAGCAGAAGCACCTCATAGAGCTCCAGATTATTAGTATTACCTTTACATGGTTTCTTAATTAGTTGAAATACATTTGACCTATTCTACTCTCGTTGCAGTACTCACATAGCAGGCATTAAAAGGTCGCAGCTAGTGGAATCTAAATAGTTTTTCTGACATGAGTTTCTTAACAATTGAGTCCAACTGATGAAAATAAGAATACAAATAGAGAAGACTATACCGGACGCTAATTAAAAGTGTTCTTTCCTGTTGCTTTGTTCAGAGACTTTTTACTATGAAAATTTGTTCAATGGGAAGAGACTTCTATGCATTATAAAACCAGATTGTCACTAAACACTTATTTTTCATCTTACTATGATTCCCTGATTCTCTGGGCAAATGTATCTCTGACTGTGGGGCAGACAGAAGCAGCTAGGGATTGCTGTAGTCTCTGTACTCGCTGCCAACTGGAGACGGACAAAGGATGGTGTGCTCCCACCAAAATCACACTGGTCCTCTCCTTCAGTAGAGTCAATGAAAAGCCAGTGAAAAGATCTGCCATCAGCTATAGGCTATCCAAGAGTTTCCCCAAAACATGGGAAGTAGCTGGCTTAATCAGACAACTGCGTGGTCTCTTACTGCCTTATATCTGACATGAATGTGTCATCACAGGGGAGAAAGTTGACACGTGAAATGCTTTCTCATAGGTAATGCTCATTTTTACACCTGTGGTGCACAATAAACTTGAAAGAATAGATCTACTGATACATATTTATGACATCAGGACCCTCTGACATTAAATTAGGCAAAACTGTATGACTGCTAAGGGCCTCAGCTTCTTTGCTGTAATCTGTGCAGTTGTTTCATGAATCTCTTCAGAATATTTCTTGAATTGCTGGGTTGTCTTGCAGCCCTCTGCTTTGGTTAGGAATACACAGTAGTCACAGCAGCTGGAACTGAAGGCACGGCTTTAAGCTACAGGACAGTGGGGTGAGAAAACTCGGTCATTTCTAAGCCTGATCTGTGCAAGCATTCATGAACATGCTAAGATATTAACATCTTTGCGCTAAGCCATTTGAAAAACATGATTTGCAAAGAGATGCTCTGTATCCCTAGAATACAAAAAGATTTTAATGTAACAGCGCTCCCTAAGCCATTCCCATTCTTAAATATGCCATTCTACCAGGCACCATGAGTTTTTTAGAGTTAAAAGGAGGACCATGTGGCACAAGAGCTTGCAGCATGAAAAATGTTGTTAAGAATTGAATGTTTGAAATTTTTTTCTGCAGTCCAAACTGAATTGGATTAGCTTGTCCTTTTTTGGAAACAATGACGCTAACCTCTAAGATAAAAACTGTATTTTCATCTCCTAACTAAAGCTGAAGTATGTTTAGAAAAAGAGCCATTTTGAAATCCAGAATATCTATATTCCAGAACTTGCATGTAGTGTAGGAGGGGAGTGCCAGAAACATGTCACAGATGACATTTGCTAAGTATTGTCTTCTACTCAAAACTGTGTTTTTCAATGGCTAAGAGCTCAGAAACCATCCTGACACAGGACGTGACTTCACAGGAGTCACTAAAGCCAGGCTGAGCCTAGAACCACGTTACCAAAACTTTCATATGCATTATGTATCTTACAGCTCTTGGCCAAATTACGAAGAGCTGAGATAGGAGTTATAGGAGCAGTTCATAGACGACCTAAGACAAAAGCTTGCATCGAAGTGACATGGACTTCAGTGCCAGCTGCAACCCCTGACAACTGACCCAGCTTCTCAGTCAGACTTGGTAACCTGTGCAGAGCTCTGTGCTCTGGTAATTGTATTGCTTCCAGCATCCCTGCTGAGAGCTCATGGAAAAGTGCTGACCTCCCATCACAGACTCCATATGCCCAAGCCTTAATTACCACTCTGATGCCAGTGAGGGCAAAGAGTTGAAGCAAGATGCTGTGCAAGCAAAGGAGCACCATCCTCTGGAAAATATGCCAGCTTTCACCTCTTCTCCCCATGAACCTGGCTCATGGGAAGAACCTCAGATCTGATGTTCAGGGAAGAGTTTCTATATGAGTGTTGAAAGTGGGATTGGGCCTAAATCTATGCTCTTTCTTCATGTGCTTATGTTTAACCTGATGGCAGAGGATTTTAAGTCAGACTTAGCTTTTTGATATGTTAACTCAGGCACACACACACTCAGTTAAAATTTTCCGTGTTGCTCTCCTTTTCTCTCCTTTCATACTTTTTGTGCTGTAAAGAGATTAAATGTCTAATTGCAGAGTGTTACAAGGTTGTTTTCAGTTAAAACAGTGAGTGGCCTGAAGTAATGCTAAGTAGGAAGGGTTTTGTGGGTTAATGTACTAATTTATAGCAGTCCAGAAAGACTCGGCAGCAAGGGCCCACTCCTTCACTGCAGTTCTGTTGTGCTTGCTTCTGTCAGGCTTTGTTGCCTGCGTAAGCCATGCTGTCATCTTAAATAGGTTACATGTCATGCGGATAAGCATTTTGATCATGTATAGAGTGATACATTGTAAGCATGTCTTTTTAAAGTTCACAAATTAGTTTCCATAAATTCCTTGATTCAAAACACAGTGTAGGCAAGACTGTGATTTGTGGGATAAAAATACAATTTTACAATATGTCCTGTGGAAGCGTTTGCTTGGGAGTGAATTGTAATTAAGAGAATGCAGTTTTATCCTCCATTACTCTGCTCTGCAGAAGGTGTGTCTTGTGACCAAAAGCCTCTTGTTTTGGGGCTGCAAAGAGATTACCTTGTCAGGTTGTTTTGTAAAACCAGGTTAGATCTTGATGTTCTTTTTAGTTTATATCCCATGGTCCAGTATACATGTGAGTGCTCCATGATATGAACCACTTTGTCTTAAATGTATACTTTGCAAAAAAGTGAAACTTACTGTATATCTTTGTCTCTTCTTTCTCAGGATACTAACATTTTGACTGGTGCCTCCCCAAGAAGTGTGATGAGAAATGGCTTTAGGAAACAATACCCAGAGAAGTTATTCCATCATCCCCTGCTTCATCTTTGTTGAGGTGAGTGCAGCATTCAGTTGGCTCAAAAATTAACACTGAATAGTTCCAGGCCTGTGAGGAACACAGCTATGCCCTCCAGGAATAACGTCATTTGCTGCTGGCTCTGTTGTTTGTAAGGAAGAATGCTTTTTTATCTGATAAGCTTAATATCCAACTTATGACCCAAACAGTGTCTCCCAATCAACCTTAAGACAGTCCTGCATGAGTTAGCCAGATCTTAGACACAAGCGTGCAAAAACAAGTAGAAGACGTGTTTTCAAGAGTTTCCTCATGTATGCGGTTGAGAAAAGGGAGTAGCTGCTGGTGTAGGCCAGCACCAGGTGACTCCTCACATCTTGTTTTTGCTCAGAATTATATCTGTCTTGGTTCTGTGCAAAGGCTGGACTTGGTTTAGGGAAATGTCTGATCTCACAAGCTGATTAGCTTGTGAGCTGATCATTCATAGGATTAGGAGACAACTTTCAGCTCTTATTTCAATTCAGGTGGAACTTGAAGTGCTGTGGAGAGTCTCCTGTCTTTTAAGTGTGATGATGGAGCTGGCTAGTACAAGAATTAACTAGCAGTGATCTTTTATGATTAAACGCTCCCTCAGTGGAGTATGGTTTCATGTCTCTGTTGGAGTCAATTTTTTTAAAAATGACTTATTATTTTACTCTGTACAGTTAGCTTTTTTATGGTTGGGTTTTTTTTATTTTTAGTTATCCTAATGCTATCAGACTGATCAAAATCAGTATGAAAACCAAGCAAAGATTCACCTGCCCCTCAAAGGGCTGGGAAGGTTTTCTCAGCAAGGGCAATGACAATTCTGAGTTTAAAAGGAAGATGAAAACTTCTGTCAGACTCTGATGGTGAGAAGGATATAGCTGCCTATGACTGCCTGGTTTTTATAGCCACCTGTCTGATGTACCTCAAATGTAACACTCATTCTTTGGGCAAATTATAATGTGACTTGTGCTGGCTGACAAGAGGAGCACTGAAAACCGTTAAAGGAGTAATCATAATGCTGGATGTCCCATGAGACTTTCCCCATTCCCACAGAAATCTTGGAAAGGTTCGAGCAGCTGGAACAGGCACTGCAGGCAGCTGCTTTGCAGAGCTCTCGAGCCCTGACCTTTACCAAGGGACATAGGAGAAGGGTGGCATTCAGGACCTCTCCAATCCTTACTCACCTGGAGTTCCTTGCTCATAGAGTCTCCTCCAGCCAGGAGATCCAGTTGCCTTATCTGCGCTCTTCACTTTCCGTGCTACTAGCTTAGGCCTGAAAACACGGAAGATCCCTGTGTGCTTAATCTAAATTCCCAATAGTTTGCCTTTTGACTTTAGTGGGCAGGAGGAGTCTAGCTGGAAGATGGGGGCAGAGGAAAAAGCATAACAGGGCCGATGGCAGAGCTTGGCATAGCGCCTTTGGAGCGGCAGCTGCGACCGATGCCAGTGTCAGAAGGGTGGCTGTGCCTTGCTGTGCTTCGAAGGGATTTGTCACTGACACAACACCTGCATTTCTGGGGAATCCACTTCTGCTTCCTGGGGAAACCCAAAAGGCTGCTCTTACTGAGGAGGCGGGTCACTACTTTGTCCCCTCTGATAAAGAAAGTAAGGTTTAAATGGGGGGAAAACAGCAAAAGGAACAGAAG